TTAGCTCCTCCCAACTGTACATGAGTCATGCCCAACAACCCATCCTAAGGCTATTTTTAAAATTTTTGGAGAATTGTTTGCTTGGGCGCCCCAACAATCATCATACGAGGATGGGGGACGTATGCTTGATTACTGGGGTTTTGTTCGGTCAGGCTGTGGACTTCAATTTGTGCAATTTGATGTGGGCACACTTGAAAAAAGAGAGCACGGCCAAAGGGCCAATTGTTGTGGGTGGGGTGATCATGCATTTGGTGACAAGGTTCAGGTATACGGATAACTCTCCTATACCCGACTACTGTTTGATGAATATAGCTTGGTTGGGCCACTCGGGGTGCACATCATTCTCTCACACGGTGTATGGGGATGACCATCCATGAAATGTGTACAATTGGCTCATACACCCCAAGCCTATAAGACACTTCCCCATGCCTAACTCAGAACTCCCCCCGACTACTGTACAACGTAGAAGTGCCGCATTACTTATTCCCCAATGCCCTTCCACCTCATCTCCAAGACCCTGCACATGAGAATAATGCCGAACCCCATGATCATGAGGACATGGACGCGAACATCCCCGAACAGCCCCAAGACCCTCCACCACCCAACTGTTTCCAATAACTTTTGGAGGGTCAGCAACAACTACTTGCGGGGTTCAACCAAATGAACCTCAACTACACGGCTATGGTAGAGCGGCTCACACGAGTTGAGGAGGAGCAACGAGCAGGATTTCAACGGATAGAGGAGCTTCGGGAAGCCGACAATCGGAGATATGAGGAGGATCAACGTAGGCTCTATGGACCTATGTACTCCTACATAGCCCATCAAGGCTCTTTTCATACTATGGCCACTCCTCCACCACCACCCTCTTGGTATGACCCCACTCATTGGGGTAGCTTTGGCAGTTCAAGCTCCGGTGGTGGAGGATATGATGGTGGGAATGGAGGCAACAACACAATGGGGGATGGCGGCACCAGTAGCGGATTTGATGGTAGCTTTGGGGGCGGCTTTGGAGGAGGCTACTATGGCGGTGCGGATGAGCACTAGGGATAGTGCCTTGATCCAAGTGTGGGGGAGGAAGACTCATCTTTTGGTATGTTGAATTCCCTTTTGTTTTTACCTTATACTAAGCATTACTTTCTTGTACTCTTTGTACACAAAAAAAAAAGGAAAAAAGGAAAAAAGAGGAATAAATAAAAGAAAAGAAATGCTAGTTAGGTTGAAAAACCCAAAAAATGGACAATCTAAGCAAAAAAGACTTATAAAAAAATGAGCGAGTTGGGGAGAATGGAAAATGAAAAGAGATGCTAGGATGAAAACCTGAAAAGACTCCTAGGCAAAATGAGAGATATGAGAGAAATATTTGTCTTTGCATGCACTCATTTGATCTCTTTGGAGAATGAGAAGACTCAACAACAACAAGAAGAAGAAGAGGCAGAAAGCGGGAGCATGGAAGACCGAAAAACCCAAGAAAAATGTTATCTTTGTAAAAACATTTGTGACTCCTTGGTGGTTTTGTGTTCTTTCTTACTCGAACTCATGGAAAACTCTTGAACTATTTGGAAAACATTTTACTTTACTCAAGGTCGAGTAAAGAACTATGTGTGGGGGAGTTGATACGTTTGTAATTTCCATATGTATGTTTGTGTTTTTAATTAGTTTTGATTGATTTTCACTTTGGAAATTACACACTTTTGGGGTAATAGATTAGTTTGTTAAATTCTTGTAAATTGTTTAGATTAGGTTCATTCTGAGCTCAAACAGGTCTATTATCACTCAAAGGATAGTTGGTGAACCCCAAAAGTGGAAGGAAGGTGCAAAATCACAAGACAAAATGAAGATCCTCATTTTTTGGTCTATACCCGGTCGGGTATGACCTATACTCGATCGGGTATCTTGTTGAAATTTCAAATCGGATCGGATCCGAAGACAAAGGAACGTGCAGGGAAGATTTTGACCACGATCGAGTGTCTATACCCGATCGGGTACACCGACACACTCGATCGGGTATCCTTTCTAAATTAAGCCTGAAATCGATCGAGTATACCTCGGATCTGAGGTTTTACACATACTCGATCAGGTACAAGAACACATCCGATCGGGTATGCTTATATGATTTACCCATTAATCGATCGAGTATACCTCGAATCTGAGGTATTACACATACCCGGTCGGGTACCGTGTATATTCCCGATCAGGTACCTGAGCTCATCCCCAAAAGCCTATAAATACACTCCCTTCCCTTCACAATTAGATCACCAATTCACATATACTTCTAAGCTCAGTCTAGAATAGTTCTTTCTTTATAATTTCATCATGTTTAGTCTCCAAATGAGGAGCTAAACTCTTCCATCTTGGTTTTTCTACTTTGAAGCTTAATGAATTTGTAAGTTGTGAGTTATTTTATTTAATCTTCTTCCTTGAATATTAATTATTTCCTATTCATATTCCACATTAATATTTTGAGCATTACTTAAAGGATCAACTAGTTTTGTTTCATATATTAATTATTACTAGAATCATTCGATTAATACGCTTGTTATTAATTCGGTTCTTTCAACGGTAGTAAAACTTGGATTATTAATGCATGCGTCTCATGGTTAACAATCTAAGGGGAATTAATTATATTGATTAAACCGATAAACCGCTTGTGTTGAGGTTATCAATCTCAATCGTTTTCATCTTAAGTTTATTGCTACTATCGGGTTAATATACGGCGCATGTTCTATATTGATTCGGTAGTAAATTTAATTAATGAACGTGTCTCGTTATTAATAACTACCCTCGAAGAACTGGATATACTCCTCGATTGAGTATTCGAGAGGAAGATAGTTAAAGATATAACCGGGATCGACAAACATTTCATTAAGTGGATAAAAGCAAAACCAAGTCTTCATCTCTATTAAAGTAAACCACATAAGTCATTCAATTTAGTGTTTAAATACATTTAAAATTCATCACTCATTCAAAACCCCCCTTTGTTACTAATTATATTAAAGAAAAGTATTCCTTTCCCCATGGATACGAACCTTACTTCGTTATACTACGTATAATCGTTGTATTGTATTTATTTTGAGTGCACATTGCAAAAAAGTGCACGTCAGTTAATAATCTAATGGGAATTAATTATATTGATTAACCAATAAACCGCTTGTGTTGAGGTTATCAATCTCAATCGTTTTCATCTTAAGTTTATTGCTACTATCAAGTTAATATACGGCGCTTGTTCTATATTGACTCGATAGTAAGTTTTATTAATGAACGCATCTCGTTATTAATAACTACCCTCGATGAACTGGATATACTCCTCGATTGAGTGTTCGAGAGGAAGATAGTTAAAGATATAACCGGGATCGACGAACATTTCATTAAGTGGATAAAAGCAAGACCAAGTCCCCATCTCATTGCATTAAATATATATATATTAGATACACACACACACACACACACACACACACATATATATATATATATATATATATATATATATATATATATATATATATATATATATATATATCTAATGTAATAATAATTTTGAAAAAAAAAAACAATTTAAACAAAACTGCAATCTAGCCAAATAGACCCCAACAAAACATAAAAAATTACACATTTAAATATAAACAAGGGATTAAAAATCAACGATCCATTATCCCCTTGGGAGAGACTATATAAAAATTTTACAAGTCAAAAAAAATTACTTGGACAACAATACGATGCACATAGCAATTATACTGAACACTACTGTATTTTTAGACCTAACGTAACATTAAAGATGTAACATACCTATATAAGTGTTACATATTTATCTAATGTAACACTTTTTAGATGTATAAATGTTACATTAGAGACTGTAAAGTGTTACAATAGGTAAAAAGTACTCCCTCCGGTTCTTGTTAAAGTTCTCACTTTCCTTTTTGGGATGTCCCTTATTTAAGTTCACACTTCCATTTTAGGAAACAAAACAGTGCAAAACAGTGCCAAACAGTGTCAAAACAGTGTCCAAACAATGTCAAACAGTGCCAAACAGTGCACTCCACAGTAAAGTCAAATTCATTTTCTTAATATGTGTGAAGTCAAACTAAGAACTTAAATAAGAACCGGAGGAAGTAGTACTTATTACATTTTCTTTAATGTACTACCTCCGTTCCCATTTTAACTTCCAAATGGGTTTGGCACAAAGTTTAAGATAGTGGATATTGTGTGGTGGAGAGTTGTGCAGAAGAGAGAGAAATGTGTAAGAAATGTTGTGAACCACAAATTCTTTAACAAAAAGAGAAAGTGGAAGTTTTAATTGGAACGGACGAAAAAGGAAAGATGAAAGTTTATTTAGGAACGGAGGGAGTAATACTTTTCAATGATATTGTAACACTTTTGAGCGGTGTTGTAAGTATCCTTTTGGGATAAATTGTACGATAGTATATAAAAGGGATAAGGGTCAGATATGGCCTCAAACTTGAAAAAAAAATGTCAAATAAGGCCATATTTAGGATGATCTGTCTGGCCGACGCTATTTGGGGCGGTTCCCGGTGGAATTTTTTGATGAAATTCTTTGAGAATCTTATTCATTAAGTCTAGTTTATTCATATCAAATTTGAACTAAAACTTCAATCGGGAAGGCATACAAATGAATTCTTGAAGATAACTGCGCAGTTAAAAGAGCAGTTATCTTCAAGAATTCATTTGAATGCCTTCCCGATTGAAGTTTTAGTTCAAATTTTATATGAGTAAACTAGACTTAATGAATAAGATTCTCAAAAAAATTCATCAAAAAATTCCACCGGGAACCGCCCCAAATGGCGTCGACCGGACAGAGAATCCTAAATATGGCCTTATTTGACATTTTTTCCCATGTTCGAGGTCCTATCTGACTCTTATCCCTGTATAAAATTTTACAAGTCAAAATATTTACTTGGACAATATATATATATATATATATATATATATATATATATATATATATATATATATCAAGTCACTTATGGTTTTCCCGCTCAGGTGTGTACGGACATTTGTAATAGCTCTTCGTTTCTAGCTCTTCCGGTAGAACCTGGACTCTCTCTCTTGTATAATTTCCAACGATCTTCTCTTAATCAGCCGGCCGGCGATTTCAAATGTATCTCAAATCAGCTCGGAGAGCTCATCTTCTCAATATTGATTAGTACATGGTATAATCTATTAAATCCAACTCTATATATCAATGCATCTAAACTACTCGTATATACGATAGTAGAGTAGATATAACTGCATGCTCCATCCTCGTTTAATTTCTGGAATATTGTTACATAAGTAGCGAGACTGTTGTAATTATTTTTAATTGGAATTCCTCAAAAGACATGCAGATTAACATAATATATATAGTGACTCATGCATGCTATCAATTAATTTAATTTGTATACAAAGTTTTTGAATGCCTAGGCTAGGCTTGTTGTATGTATACGCCAGATTTTTTATGTATAATAATGCAGCCAGCAACTGTACGGTCGGTCGGAATAGCTAGAGAGCCGCTATTGACTGAAAGAATGGAGAGGTTGTGTGACATGTGTGGAAATCTGGGGTTAGAGGGCGGCGATGATGGATTCTTTTATTGCACCCTTTGCGCCTGTCGTGCAGATGATGTCATGGATACTGCTGTTGAAGGAGCTGACACCAACGGACGTGAGGGTCCCAGGATCTATTCTGCCTCTCAAACACGCCCTCGTCCTAGACTACACCACTCTCAGCATCAGCTGCACAACAATGACCCTATGAATCACACTGCTTCTTTCACTCCTCCAGACTCCTGTTCTTCAAATCTCAGGGTGAAGTATATTATGGGCGTTCAAATCATGATCCAGTTGCAGTGTCGGGCTTTGGTGGAGAAATTCAATGTCAGCCCTTTGATCATCGGGCTCATTAGACCTATTTGGCTGAGATATGTTGCTCATGAAAGGGTTATGGCTGATGATGATTGGGGAGACCAGGTTATTAATCAATCAGAATCCCAAACTGGGGAACTTGGTAAACGGTTTGAATCTCTGAGGAGTAAGATCCCATTATCTACTTCTCTGGCCATATCATATCTTCTTTGTCATTTAGCCAGGGAGGCAATCCTGCCAACGGACATTTTGAATTGGGCGCTTCAAGGAAAACTTCCATATCTTGCTGCTTTTGTTGAAATTGAGAAGCAACTTGGACCTCCATCAAGGGAATGTTCATTTAGTTCTAGTCGTATGTTCCGACCAACTGAGGCTATCTCCTCACAAAAGTTAGAGTCCTTTGCTGCTTCAATTGCCCGGAGAATAGGTTTACAACTACCACCTGTGAATTTCTATGCTCTAGCTTCCCGTTATCTTGCAGAGTTATCTCTTCCCCTTGAAAATATTCTTCCTCATGCATGCCGTGTACATGAGTGGTCTATGCCTCCACAGCTTTACTTATCTGATAATGAATGCAGCCTTCCACCTCACGTTTATGTTATGTGTATGATTATCGTAACAATGAGGATTATGTATGACATAAATGGAGGGAAATGGGAAATGATGTTATCTGACCCCAACGATCACTCTATGGATGAAAAGAGTGATTTAGTTGAGGAGGAAGTTAAATTTGATGGTTCCAAGCTGCTTCAGATTCTTGTAACAAACTACTCAGAGCACAAGCATATTCATGACTATGCACTAGATCTGCCCACATATCTTCAACACTGTAAAGATGTGGTTTTTGCTGGATTAAATTCATCATTGGAGGACCATGAAGAAGAAAGTCTGATAAAAGAACTATGGGACCTCTATGAAACAAGTAAGGATGCTGAACCATCAGATGGCCATAGAAACAGTGAGGAAATGAGAGAGAGCGGAGGCGATTTCAACACGACAAGTAATCGTCCAAAGTGTCCATTGGATGATTCTGAATCACCAGTACATGCAAGTTCTAAGAAGTCATATAAGGATCGGGCGATACGGCAAATGAAATCAAATATGGAGGAAAATCTGTTTTCTTATCTTCCACCCATTAAATCCACCTTGAAGAACCATGGTTACATTCGATATGCTAGAAAGAAAGACGGTGCCTTGATATATGCTGTCCATGCTGATTATTATATCATACTTCGCTCATGTGCACAAGTTGCACAGATTGATATGAGGACCTTGCATATGGGTGTTTTGACCTTTCAGAGGTGGCTGGAAAAGATAGAAAAGAGAATTGATGCTTGTTTGCTTTGGAACCTCCCTGAGGACTCTTGTGATTTTTGCTGCGATGGAGTTTCAAGTTCAAAGGCTTCAGTCACGGAGTAATGCATTCTAGCTTCATTAAGGTTTACCTTTGTATATCTGTGGCTTTTTTTTGTCTGGATTGAGCTAATCACCTCACCCTCACCATGGTTATGCAAATCCTATGATGGCATGAAATCTTAAATTTCAGTGGATTATCCCATTGCTTCAGGTTTGAAGGTGTAATTTGTGAGGGGCTAATGTTGTGTGCTCTAAAAGGGTTAATTATGTATTAATATTTAGTAAAAAGTCTTTGAACTTGTGTCTCAAATGTGTTCATATTGATTTGCATGTATTAACATATCTGATAAAAAGAGATCAATTAAGCTTTCACTCGAGAATTGCTTCAGGCTTGAAGGTGTAGTTCGTAAGGGTCTAATGTGGTCTACTCTAGAAAGGCATATTATGTATTAGTATCTGATTAAAAATACCTTTGAACTTGTGTCACAAATGTGTTCATTTTGAGTTTAATGTATAAACATATACTCCGTATATGGAACTAATAATCCTATTTTGCCTGCTCAATTCTGATTTGCTATTTTATTTTTTGTTTTTTCATTTTTCTTTGTTATGTCAGTTTCTCTCTGTCATTGAGTTGTTACCAAATGATCCATTTAGCTATAGTGTTCATAAAATTGTTTTATTATCTCAAGAGTAGTTTTTATTCATTTATAAGATGTCTATGAGTAGGGATGGACTAAATCGGGCCGGCCCGGCCTGGAACCGGCCCGGCCCGGAACCGGCCCGGCCCGGAACCGGCCCGGCCCGCTATTGTGCGGGCCCAGACCGAACCGGGACCGGTTGGCCGGTTCCGGGATTTTAGCTCATTTAGGCGGGTCGGGCGGGCCGGGCTCAGGCCCAGTTTTGGGCGAACCGGCCCGGGGGATAACAAGAAAGCAAAAAAAATTAGACATTGAACCGGGTCCGGACCGGTTAGGCCCGGACCCGGTATCAACCCGGGCCAGTTCCGGGCCCAAGGATTTGCAAAAAAAGCCCACCCGAGCCCGTCCCGGAACCGGAACCAGACCGGCCTGGGTCCATCCCTATCTATGAGTGAACATGTATTTTGATCATAGTTGTTACGGCGGCGTCGATTGCCTAAAAGAAGACCAAGCAACTTGCAATGATTTTCAGAATTAAAATCACAATCCAAGTCGAGTTGAAACTCAAAACATTTCCAATGAGTTTAAGAATTCCAGAATAGCAAATCCTTGATTGAAATTCTACAGATCTTCTTTGTTGGGATTGGAAAATTCTTCTATTCAATATCAAGAACAGAATTACAATAGGAAGAACAAACTCTCACACTCAACTATTACAAAAAACCAATCATCACCAATACACTTCTACTCTAAGTGTATTTCACTCTTCACACACTTTTCTCACTTTCTAAAACTGATGATTATGAACAACAATACACTCCCTATTTATAGGTGTATATGGGAGACATGAGGAAGTTGCATCCAAGCTTCCATTCCCATTGCCAGGGAGTTTCCTTGCTATCTCCAAGTACCTTCCATGAAGGGATGTGGAAGTACCTCAATGTTGGATGGCTCCTTCCTAGAAGGTGTTATATGTCTCTTGGCAACTTCCAAGAAACAAGGTAGAAGAATCCTACAAATCTCCCCCTCCACATTTTTCTTTATTTCTCTCGTTCCTGCGGTGCTCGCTGGCTCCCCCTCGCTGGCAACAAGTATCCATTCGAATGTGGAATACTTTCTCTGTGGAACTATGCCCTGCATAGAGCGTTTAACATGAGTACCTTCAGCTTCGTCTTCAGATGAAGGATCCCCCTGTTGAGGAATATCATCACTTTGATCATCATCATTACCTACTGAACCATCACTCTCTTGCTCAGTAGTATCATACATCTCCTCGTCGCTGAGAGGAATGTTTGATGATACAGGGACTTCGTCTTCTGGAGTATGTTGTTTGCGAATTATTGGAGCACACTCATGAAACTCGTTTTCATGAAATACAACATCTCTGCTTCGTATAACTTTCTTCACTTCGGGATCCCTGATACGTTCGTAATTTCCATTTCTATGTTTATGTTTTTAATTAGTTTTGCTTGACTTTTACTTTGGAAATTACACACTTTTGGTGTAATAGATTAGATTGTTAAATTCTTGTAAATAGGTTAGATTAGACATATTCTGAGCTTAAGCAGGTTTTGGTCACCCAAAGTACAGTTGGTGAACCCAAAAAGTGAAGAGAAGGTGCAAAAGTTCAAAGAGAAAAGAAGATCCTGAATTTTGGTCTATACTCGGTCGAGTATTAGCTATACTCGATCGGGTATTAGGTTGGAACTTCAAATCGGATCAGATCCGAAGACAAAGGAACATGCAGGGAAGATTTTGGCCACGATTCTATGTCTATACCCGATCGGGTAGACCGACATACCCGATCGGGTATGCTTTTAAATTGCAAACGAAGATCGGTCGAGTATAGCCCGAATACCACTTTCTAAGCATACTCGACCGGGTATTCATATATACTCGATCGGGTATACACTTAGAAACTAGCCTGAAACCGGTCGAGTATAGCCTGAATACCACTTTCTAAGCATACTCGACCGGGTATTCATATATACTCGATCGGGTATACACTTAGAAAATAGCCTGAAACCGGTCGAGTATGCCTCGGATCGGGTGTTACACACATACTCGATCGGGTACCATGTATATACCCGATCGAGTACCCGAATCCCATCCCAAAAACCTATAAATACACCTCCTTTCCTTCACAAAAAGATATCCAATCCCTTGTACATCTAAGCTCAGTATAGAATAGCTCTTTCTTTATATTTTTTCATCATGTTTAGTCTCCAAATGAGGAGCTAAACTCTTCCATCTTGGTTTTGCTACTTTGAAGCTTAATGAATTTGTAAGTTGTGAGTTATTTTTCTTTAATCTTCTTCCTTGAATATTAATTCTTTCTTTCAAAATACTATCTCTATATCAAAGTTGGGGAGTGTTACTAAGATGACAATTAGTTAACATCTTGACATTGGTTATAGTAATAGCTATTTCTTCCTCTATGATAATATCGGGGAGTGTTACTAAGATGACAATTAGTTAACATCTTGATATTAATCATAGTAGGATTCATATATTTTAATATTCTTCCTTGAGTATTGATTAATTCCTATTCATATTTCATGTTAATATCTTAAACATTACTTAAAGTATCAACTAGTATTGTTTCTCATATTAATTATTACTAGAATCAATCGGTTAATACGCTTGTTATTAATCCGGTTCTTTCAACGGTAGTAAACTTGGAATATTAATGCATGCATCTCATGGTTAATATGCCAAGGGGAATTAATTATATTGATTAAACCAATAAACCGCTTGTGTTGAGGTTATCAATCTCAATCGTTTTCATCTTAAGTTTATTGCTACTATCAAGTTAATATACGGCGCTTGTTCTATATTGACTCGATAGTAAGTTTTATTAATGAACGCATCTCGTTATTAATAACTACCCTCGATGAACTGGATATACTCCTCGATTGAGTGTTCGAGAGGAAGATAGTTAAAGATATAACCGGGATCGACGAACATTTCATTAAGTGGATAAAAGCAAGACCAAGTCCCCATCTCATTGCATTAAACTCATATAGGTTGTTTATCTTAGTGTTGTTAAAACAAACAAATCTAAACCCCCCTTTTTGTTACTACTATTATAAAAGAAAAGTATTCCTTTCCCTGTGGATACGAACCTTACTACACTATACTACGTATTTGTGTCGTATTGATTATTTATTTTGAGTGCACCTAACGACGAGTGCACGTCAATCCCACAACCGGTATCCGAATTCTTCATCTCCATAGCTGATGAAAATGCATGGGTTTGATTTGAGATCAAGCTTCTGTCTCAACTCCTTGGACACATGTGCAAATGCCTTGCACCCGAACACCTTCAAGTGAGAGTAAGAAACATCTCTTCCTGACCATTTCTTCTCTGGCACTTCAAAGTTTAAAGGAACAGAAGGTGACCTGTTTATAAGATAACTAGCTCTCAGCACAGCTTTACCCCAGAATGACTTCAGTAGTTTAGCCATACTCAACATGCAACGAACTTTCTCCATAATGGTTCTGTTCATTCTTTCGGCTACACCATTGTGTTGTGGAGTTCGTGGAACCGTCTTCTCATGTCTGATTCCATATGCGGCGCAATATGCTGAGAATTCCTTGGAAGTGTACTCTCCTCCATTGTCTAAACGTAGACACTTCAACTTCTTCCTTGTTTCTCTTTCTACCATGACATGAAATGATTTGAATCGATCAAACACTTGATCCTTACTCTTTAGAAAGTAAGCCCATACCTTTCGTGATGCATCATCAATGAATGTCACGAAATATCTACTTCTTCCAAGTGACTCCTCTTCAATGGGTCCACATACATCTGAGTGGACAAGACTGAGTAACTGTGAATGGTTCTTCCTGGTAGAACTGAAGGAAACTCTGTGTTGTTTCCCAAATAGACAGTGCTCGCATGGATCTAGGGCAACACTTCTGCCCAAGGAAATGGCTTCCTTCTTTGCAAGAGTTGTCAATCCCTTCACACTCAAGTGGCCTAACCTCCGGTGCCACAAGTTTGGTGATGTCTCTTTTTCAACAGCATTGAGACTTGGATGACATAGCTTTGCATGGGTTTTATAAAGAGTATCACAAATATGGCCTCTTGCAACAATCAAGGAACCTTTAGATAGCTTCCACGTACCTTCTTTGAAGCGGTTAAGATATCCTTGCTGATCCAGAGCTGTACCGGAGATAAGATTCAATCTAAGATCCGGAACGTGTCGAACATCTTTCAAGACAAGTGCACATCCGACATTGGTTGTTATGTGCACGTCACCAATGCCAACAATCTTTGAGAAACTGGTGTTTCCCATCTTCACAGCTCCAAAGTCTCCGGACTTATAAGATGTGAATAAGTTCTGGTGTGGAGTGGCGTGAAATGATGCGGCTGTATCAACCACCCACTCAACATCATGAGTACCTACGTGTAAACATTCTTGTTCACCATGTGTAACAAGTAACACGTATGATGACAAACTAACCATGGTCGCACCATCTTCTTGGCTAGTATTTTGACTCGTCTGTGGTTGTCCTCGTAGATACTTTCTACAATCTCTTTTTCTATGCCCATAATTACTACAGTAATTGCAATATCCTTCAAACCAAGTATTTTTTTCAAAGGACATACCTCTCTCTTGTGCTCTGTCGGACTTTCCTGAGCGTCTCGCTCTAAGGGGTCGATACGATGTTCTTTGTCGTGTGGTGTCGTCGGCCATACCTGAGTGTTTCGCTCAAAGCGGCTGATGTGACGTGCTTCGTTGTGTGGCATTCTTTACTTA